ACAGAGGGACCACGACTCTGATCAATCGCCACCTCGCAAACGTGGTATGTTCTTGGCATCCATATCTGTGATAGTATCACCGTCACTTTCGCAGTATCTTAAAGCGAAAAATTCCATCACCCATCTCTTGACGCTCGGGATTCTTCCGTCTTCCGCTTATTTTCTTCTCCCATTCCTTTTCAATCCTTCCGTCAACAATTCATTTTCGTTTTGTAGCAGTTCTGTTGCTATTCCCTTCCATGGGTAGAAACCGCTTTGAATCAGTGCTAAAGGGTTGGTGCAGTGGTGCTTGAGAAATGCAGCATCCCTGCATCCTCTGTAAACTTTATGAATACATATTTGCTACGAGCATTAAAACAACATCGACGTTATGTGATTCAATCCTAATTTCCGGAAAACTGTGAAAAAGTGTACTTTTAAATTGCTTCGCAAGCATACACATAACGTCTATGTTGTTCCAATGCTGTCTTACTAGGGAAGGCTTTCAAATTTCCATGTCTGGATGGATTTTTGAGGAAATTGATGACAGGAAGAATCTATCACAAATAAGGGGACCAAAACTGTTACATCAACTTTCCAAGCAAATTGTGAGCGGTCACAGATGGCAACACAAAAAAGTAAATTGTGATACCGAATGGGCGCAAGATATCCCCTGTGTCGAAAGTGGATTCCTCTTCGTGATCAAGTTTCCAAATATAAATAAAGGTCAGAAAAATCAAGGATCTGACGCGGATAGATTAGCTCGTCTCGTCGCGCTGTAAAGGGGAGGGTGTGGTTGGGATTGCTTCTTAACGGCCTCCTGCCAATGTTCTTAATGAATATTTGAGAATCTACCTTCGAAATCATACTGTGCAAATCATTACCTATGACAACTTTCGGTAACTGTGGTATTGCCATTTATCACTCCTTTTTTTATGAGCACCACATCAATTCCAGTTTCTCTTTTTCAACAGTAGAGCTTTCAGAGCGTTCTGTTCGAAAAAGAAGAGGTTCTGATTCTGACCAATCACCACCTCGCAGGCGTGGTTAGTGTGTTTTTTATCTCATAATCAATAATGTAATAATCTGAGTTGTCGTTGCCTCTAATATTATTTCCCTGCCCTTTCTTTTCTTTCTTTTTTTTTCTTTTCATTGTGTCTTTTATCCGCGTTTTTCGAGAACGACTAGAATTCTACTTCAGCTTCTCGCTTTCGCTATGACAATTTAAGAGAAGCCTAGTACAACCTAGCACAACTGCGATGGTTCTGGCACATTAACTCGGTTAATCCTAGTCGCTATTTTAGATCGGTCGTCCCAACACCCTGACGTTAAAACTGAAATCGATTCCGATCAATCTCCTCCTAGAAACGGTTTGTGATTCCATTTTTTGAGGTGTAGTTGTGCACCTACAATCGGCAAAAGCGACTTACCTCTTGCGAAGTGTTGTGTTTTATTTTTTAATTAAGTTTTGTTTTCTTTGCTCACGTCATTCAATCTGTGTTCAAATTATGCAAGAGAACACTTTTGTCATCCGTAGATTTTTATTTCTTTTACAGATCGTTCTCGAGGGCGAACAAGAGGCTCAGATTCAGACTTATCCCCACCTCGAAAACATGGTAGGTCCCTATTCTTCTTGTACTACTTTGTTGTTTCTCATTTGTGATTTGTCACATGCTCGTGTAGTATATTGTTTATGCGAAAGGCTTCTGTAACATAATTAACATTACGTATTTTAAGGGAAACCTTCATCTCACCGACGTGAATCAGAAAAGCCTCGAGAAAGACACATAGCAACACCTGAACGACTCGGTAAAGAAGCTCAGCGAACTCTCGACGGGAAAGTAAGGATTTTGTTCATACAATGCTGTGCTTTAGATAGTTTTTTCACTAAATTCTTAATCTTGGATTTTACTACAAATGGAAAATCCATTTAGCATAGGATTGAGCTCTTGAGATGATCTGTTGAATAGTTTGTTTCACGTAATAGTTACTTGAGAAAGCTCAGCTTCTTTTTGAAAGTGAGACAAAAAAAGAACTAGTTATCTCCTTCTCTTGAATGCATTATAACTCAGTTTTATTACGTTCAGGTAGCTGGATTGCAATCAGCGGCCGATCTTAAAAAAGAAGCAGAAAAGCTCCGTGAACGTGAAGCAAAGGTAGTTGTGTCATTATTTAATTTTTACTTGTATAATTACTTCATGTTGGCGATATGTTGTTCACTCTTTCATATGCCTCTTTTAGATGTTCGAGGAAATGGATGCTTCGATAAGTGGCCGAAATGCAGAAACTACCGTGCGGCAAAAACAAGTGCGAAAAGGTAGGTATA